TCCTTTATTCCTGATAACCAGCATTTAAAAGATGAGGAGAAAAACCTTCCAATACACACCTACCTAGTCAGAGTACAGCACAATATACAAGATGGAAGATGAAAATTCAAAATGTGAAAGACAAACCCTGCCTAGCCTGCATCATCCTCCTGTTTTTGTGCCCAGACAATGTCTTTCTCCTATGTGTTATTTTTCTATGTAGAGTCTGAAAGTTCATATTACACAAAATATTAAAACTGTCTTAATTATTAGGAATATGAAAAGTATTTCAATCCTACCTCTTTTTCATGCATTCGAGAGAGAAAATGATCATCATGAAGACTGCTAGACTTTCTCAGGCTGACCTTGGGAGTCATCTGTAGAATGAGTGAGAGCTATTTAATACTTTTTCAGGCCTGGTTTAACCTCAACTCTTTAAAAGTAAACTAATAAAATGCCTGAAACTCATGTCAAAATAATATTAGAATGGAGAAAAAAGTGACCAACTCACTTCCAACCAACCAGAATAAAGTTACTATTTTGCCTCCTAATGTAACCTACATTATTTTCTATATAAAAGACTTATTTTAACTAAAGATATTTCTAGAAAACGTACAATGGAATTATCACCTACCAGAGAAACTGGAAGAGGCTTCTGTCTCAGGTACCGAGGATTTTCTATCTGAATAAAATTTAAGTAAGGAAATATTAATTCTGGAGTAACTTTCATGAAATATAATGTTCTTATATGAAAACTTCTACATAGTTTAATATTTAGTTCATTTTCTATAGTGCTATTACAGTTCAGTGACCACCAATAAATAAAATATAAAACATAAATTCCTTTGCATATATGAATGCACTTTCCTAACCCTTTCCCCAAATGCCACGTTGTGTTCTAATACTCCTCACCTCCCATTTCATATTCCCCAAATTCTGAATGACTTATAATACCAAAACATAAATCTCCTACTGCCTCTCTGCCTGTTTCTTTACACCACTTGTAAGTATGTACCTACTCATTCTTTAAATCTCAATTTAATCACTACACTGACAAACATACTAGATACATGAATCTTTAAGTATATTTCATTATGTGCGAATATGAAATTCCTTTCAGACTTACCACTTAACTATATTTTCAGCTTCATCTATCCCTGAACTTACTCCTCGTTCCAAGGGTAACAAGCAACTTGTTTACCTTGAAAGGATTACACTCTCAACTAACTATATCTGAGTCTTTGGAAACTGAAATCATTCTCTCACCTTCTTCAAGACTCACTGATCAGGAGTGAGGTTCCTCAGAAAACTTAATTCCTACTACTCTAGTGCCACCTTAGAGGCTCAGCTCTTCTTATGATCTAGCATCCATCTTCATAAAATGCAGATTCTGAAAACAAAGACTGTGACTGCCTTGATCACGAGTTTATTCCTAACATCCACTACAGTGCCTGACAGTATTAATGAGGAAAGAGAGAGGAACAGAAGGAACAGTATCTGGTCTTACTCTCTCAGCAGCTCCTAAATGTCCTGTGTGCATTCCCCTGGCCCTTACATAATTCTTCAAGTGTTCATCAGTATGCTTCCACATATCTTTGGGCAGAATGAGCATAAGGATGATGTCTTCTTAGCTACATATCTCTGGTATCTAGCACTATCTTAATGCATTGGAGCCTTTCAGTAAAATATTTCTTGAATTAATGTGCTTTATTGCAGCTGTCCATCCGGTCCACCTTCACGGTCGTCACCGCCACTGCCTGATCCCAGACCCCAGGGCTGGTGAGGAGACTGTACCAGCGGAGCCACATTCAGACACAGGAGACCAGGTTCAATGCTGCAGATCTATTTTACTGAGGAATTTACAAGCTTAAATAGGGTCCCTGGACGAATCAGACAAGGATGCAATGACTATGCTATATATGGGCAGCCCTGGTTCCGGGACCAATCAGACAAGGATACAATGACTATGCCATATATGGGCAGCCCTAGTTCCAGGACCAATCAGATAAGGATACAATGACTATGCCATATATGGGCAGCCCTGGTTCCAGGACCAATCAGACAAGGAAACAATGACTATGCTATATATGGGGAGCCCTGGTTCTGGTAAATCATGTGACCATGGCTGTCGTTATGCCCATGTGCTGAAAGCTGTGGATAAACCGAAACCTGGAATTTCAAAGGGTGGTGACTAGGGAGTGGCGAGCCTTAAGCTTGAGCCCTACCAAATGGACGGATAATCACAAGGTGTTCCTCATGGCTCCAGCAGCCAGGCTATTGCCTCAGGCCTGCTGTATGGCTGTCATTAGGATTTCCACTCTAGGCTCAAGCCTGTCTCCCATGCTTTATGATAAATTACTTGGAATTTCATTCTCAACAATTTCATTTGCAAATAAAGTAAAAGTTAAAAATTACTAATTTCTTCAGTACATAAACTCATACTTTACTCCATTAATAATAACAAAATATAAAACATTAACACTACAAGTTAGTGGTTCTTACACCTGGAATAAACAATTAGTATTAACTGGAATGCATTTTCAAATATATCTTTAATGAGGTCAATATTCCAAAATCCTTATCTGTTTTCAAAAAGCTCTCCAAATATAATTATGGAAGATAATCTACACTCAATTTGACATAAAATAATCAATTAATCAAAGAATATAAAGGGAATAAACTTTGAAACAGAATTTTAGATATGAGCAGACTGTCAGAGTGTGCGGGTTTCTGGCCTCCCTCTGGCATAGGGGCTGAGAACACAGGAGACTGCCTGAGAGTGACCAGATCCTGCCTCCACATGGTGGTGAGCTTCGCCTAATTGTGCCATACCCATCCCAAAACCTAGGATTTCATGAGATCCCTCCCAAGGCCCCAGAGAAGATCTGGCTTTGGTAGGCTAAGGCCAAGATATTAGCAGAGAGCCTGAGAGGGTGGACTTCAACCTCCATCAGTGTAGCTGCTGTGATCTCAGCAGACTGCCAGAGAGTGCCAGGATCTGAGCTCCCTCTGGCATAGGGGCTGAGAACACAGCAGAATAACTAAGAGTCCCCAAATCACCCCCTGCCCTTAGGGAATTTCCCAAATTTTCTCTGAGTTCCTGCGAGTAGGGGTCCAAACATTAGAAGGAAGACTGAGTGTACCTGACTGGATCTTGACTTGGGCTTCTATGGGTGCTCCTGAACAGCTGATCTGAAGCCATCAGTTCCCTCCAAAATAAAACCTGAGAGCCTGAAACCTATACAATCCAGCTTTACATAATCAATAATGAAAGGACCTAGGCACCCCAATAATACAAAAAGGAGCATACTTCAACTTAATTCTCATATCAGAATCATAAACGACAAAAGAAATTCACATGCCAAAACCACAATGAAAGAATAAAATGGAAAGCCAAAACATGATGTCCCCACCAAATTCCACCAGTCCTATAGAAAAGTTCTACAAGGAAAACCCCCTAGAGATAACCCAGGACACTGAATTTAAAAGAACAATCATGAAACTAATCAAGGAATTCAAGAAATTTAAGGAACACACGAAATAACAAATCAAAGAGGATAAACTTCTGAATGAATTAACAAAAGAGATAGAAACACTGAAGAAAACTCAGGCAGAAATGAAGAAGGAAGTGCAAAACTCAATAAGCCAACTTGAAACAACAGGGGAAATCCTTACCGCTAGAATGAATGAAATGGAAAACAGAATATCAACACTGTAGGATAAAGTTGAAGAATTAGACCACTCAAGCAAAGAGTATGGAAAATACAAAAAAAAAAAATAATAATAATAAGGGAATATGAAAGAGATGTGGGACACAATGACAATGCATAAAGACACAATTTATGATGATTATTAAATAATAAGCTGATGACAGGACTAGCAAGGAACAAACTTTAAAAAATATTTTACCATTATTTTCGTTTTTTTGTGTATGCGTGTATTGCCTACATGTACGTAAGTGCACCGGTGTTGTGCAAAGCCCATGGATTTCAGAAGAGAGCACTGGATTCCCTTGGAACTGGAGTTATGCACAGGTGTTAGCCACCACGTGGGTGCTGGGAATCGAACCCAGGTCCTCTGCCAGAGCAATCAGTGCTCTTAACTACTGAGCCATCTCTCTAATCCCAAGGAGTAAACTTTTTGTGTGCTATTTTACTTAATTTGGTACTGACCTGAAGATGTTAACTTTAGTTACTAAGTCCACCACCATTCAGAAATGGACTCAAAGACATGCAGCAAGAGAAACCATAAGAAAACTACAGAATACATTAGAAACAACTTAGTTACCAAAAATAGGAGTGATGATAGGACCAGGCACAAACAAGAATCAAAATGACAGCAACCAATACATATCTTTCAATAATAACCTTAAATATCAATGGACTTAACACCCCAGTCAAAAGACTCAGGCTAAGCGAATGGATTAAGAAACAAAATCCATTTCTTTGTTGTCTGCAAGAAACTCATCTCACCTTCAAGGACAGGCACTACCTTAAGGTAAAAGGATGGAAAAAGAATATTCCAAGCAAATGGCACTAAGAAACAAGCAGGGGTTGCAATTCTAATATCTGACAAAATAGATTTCAAAGTAAAACTAATCAGAAAAGATAAGGAGGGTCACTTCATTCTGATCAAAGGAACAATTAATCAAGAAGATATTACAGTCCTTAAAATATATGCATCAAACTCTGGTGCACCCAAATTCATAAAAACAACACAACAGGACTTTAAGAAACAGATTAACCACATCTCAGTAATAGTAGGGGACGTCAGTACCCCACTGTGTCCATTAGACAGGTCAACTGGAAAAAGAATAAGCAGAGAGACGATTGAATTAAATTATACCATACATCAAATGGACCTAACAGACATCTTTCAATAATTCTAAGCAAGAACAAAAGAATACACTTTGTACTCAGCACCCCATGGAATTTTTTCAAAAATTGACCACATGCTGGGCCACAAAAAGAACCCTCTACAAATACAAAAAAAATTGAAATAATTCCATGCATTCCAGCTCAAAATCAATGCTGGACAAACACCTAGTCACTACACGAATGCGTGGGAACTGAACACACTCCGATTAAGAAAGAAATAAAAGAATTCCTGGAATTCAATGAAAAGGACAATACAACACAACACAAACTCTGGGACACACTAAAAGGAGTCCTAAGAGGGAAGTTTATAGCTCTAAATGCCTACATTAAAAAATTAGACCTCTCACCCACACGCAGGCCTCACTCTCTGGGGTAAGTCGATCTGGACCTCCATGCCTTGACTCCCCCAGCCCCATCTCCCCCTGCCGATCTCTACTCCTAGCCTGGGTCCTGTCTCATATCATGTCTTGGTGCCCCAGACACCTGGGGAACCACCACTGCTTCCTAATCCTTTGCATGCAGACAAACTCATTTGCTTCTAGGGTCCCCAGGAACACTCTGGGCCTTGCCCCACCCTCACCTCCCTCTACTTCCCTGGGCCTACACGAACCACCAGCCTCTTTCCTGGATGCCAAGGGTGACCCTTCCTCTTCCTGATCCTTTGCATCCAGACCAACCCAGTTCCTCAGTGCAGTCCCCAGAAGCCCTTGGGGCCGCTTCCCGCCCACATCTTCCTTTGCATCTCTGGGTGGCACGGCCACCAGCTCCCCTAGACAAGCATCTTTCCTGGGCCCAACTCCCAGGC